AGATTTTGAGGGCCAAAAAAACTAAAGAATGAGCTAAAAGAGGCTAAAATGCTAAATGGAGTCGATGATAATTCTCCACATTACACACACTCATTTGATCCATTGTTAATATAACAATATTGGTTGGTGCAGCTTTAAACAAAAAATCACCCGTACAAAATAATCAAATAATCCTGGTATGATAAAAAGTTTAAAAACAACATAAAATAACTGATAAACAAGAAAAGCAGCGTTGGTTACTAATCAGTCTCCTGTCATAACAATAAAAATATAATTTCATATTCAGCTCTCATAACTGGAATAAAATAAAACTTCATCCATTAACTCAGTGAAAACGTTATTCTACCATTAAACATTATCAAAATGAAATATACATCCCCTGATATTATTCTGTATTAATCATAACTTTGAGGAGGAGGCCAAGGTAAATGATAAATAAAAGAGACAAATATCTGTTGAGAATATTAAGAATAGCAGCACTGAAATTCATTACCTAGAGGCGGCTGCGAAAAACATAAAATAGAGGGAAGTGATAGGGCATATTTGATAAACAGAGCAGATAAATCATAAAATAAATAGTGGCTGTATGAAAAAATATGGATGTAATGGTTGAAATATGTTAAATCATCTAAAAATGAGGCTTGTGTGTGAGGTGTGTTAGTTAAAGCCTGGCAGACGCTGTACGAGCAGGGGTGCTTCCAAACTTTTTTTTTTTTTTTTACGGGGGTGGCACAAGTGGAGCACTGGCTTATGCAGGGGTGGCAGAAATTATGTGTCTGAGCTTTCCAGTGATTCCCAATTTCTGCAATTCCAACACAGTTTGTGGACTCCAGTATTCAGAAATATATTTAAATATACTTTAATAACACATTAATGCCACATGTAAAATACTGCATGGTCTTTGCCCAAAACCTGCAAAGAGGAGACTCGTGTTTTCCCATAGGACCCATTTTCATTCAGATATCTTGAGGTCAGAGGTCAAAGGAACCCCTTTGAAAATGTCAGTTTTTCCATCGCCAACATTTAGCTCAACTGTGGAGCGTTATTTAGTCCCCTTCCCGAAGACTATCTTCGCTGCACTCGCTGTTACAGCCCCTGAAAGGTAAGGATAATTGGGTGGCCAGTCAGATTTCAGGGGTGGTCAGGGTCAGTAAGTACTGGTTTGCCCCAGACTCATATAGTCAACAATAAGACTCATTTTAAAATGGACTCGACCTGTTTCTCTGACGATCTGTTGACGAACCTCGAGGACGCAGTTGTCTTCTTTGAATAAACTTTATCGCAATGGACCAGACCGACCTGTTTACTCTCTGTGCAGGCAGGAGGATTAAACCCTTTAGAGTGAGGTACCAGGTTGTCTGTGCATCTTCAAGCGTGTTTTCTTTAAGGTGGGGTGGGTCAGGTTAGGGGTCAACGGTTGCAGCAGCAATATTATACTAATAAAGCGGGATTAAGAGTGATGGTGTCACCCAGATTATATTAAAGAGCCATAACGATTGATGTAGCAAAAACAAATTCCTGCAGCGCAAATTGATGTGGTACGATGTCTCCAGCTTGTCTCTGTGTGTATGTGTGTGTGTGTGTGTTAATGGTGTGTGTGTCTGTGCCATCCATTGTCCTGTCTCACTAATCACAGCAGCTCGGGGCTTCATTTAATCAGCAGAGCGCGGCGCAGCGTCCCATAATAACTTATCAACAGTCGTAGCTTATAGATGAAGGCTTAATTGCCAAAATGCTGCAGCGCTTCTCCCTCGCTGTCATCATTATAATGTAAAACACAGAGGCAGCAGACACACTGAATGTTACCTGCTTCCAGGTCACCACGATCTTAAAATAAAAATCATAGTAACTGAGGTTTTTTTTGCAGCCAGAAACACATTTTTTGGAGCATCGTCATCAAAAGCTGCAGTAACGTTACTTCAAACCTGTATATTACCCACCTGTAATGACAGTGTAGTGCAATCAAATGGCAGAAAGATCAATACTTTACACCAGAAAAGCATGGAGAGAGCTCACACTTCCTTCAAGGCTGCACAAGCCTTGACATTTAAATTTAATACACTTTAATAAGTGTATTAAACCAGAAAGGCAGTGCCTTTTCCTAGGTATTAAACCAGGAAGGCACTCGGAGAGCGGAGCCCCTCCACTGAGGCCAATAGTCCAGTTTTATGATACTCAAATCTGCACCCCGTTCACTTAAATTACAACATCCGGATTAATCCTGATGATATGCTGATTTTGCTGTATGTTTAGTCACCATTCACTCTCATTATGACGGGTTTGCTATAGATGTAACAATTGATCTGACCTCGTAACATTAATAGAAAGTGAAAAATAATTAATGCATCCGCCCTGTGATTCAGATTCATTCAAAATGTTATGAGCTCTTCCTTTCCAACAAGTTTTATGAAAATCCGCCCAGAGGTTTTTCCATAATCCTGCAGACAAACAGCACCTGGCGGAGGTAAAAATACACACATAGGCCTTTTCCACCAACTGGGAAAAGAGCCGTTCATACAATGTTACGTCCTTTTGACGGGCACATCGAGAAACCTTCTTGCAAATGTTATTAAAACGTGTTAATGTGTTGTTGCTAAAAAACTAAGAATCAGGACTGAAGACCTCTTTAGTAGAGACAATTTTGTTAATTGACGCATAAAACCATATGGTTTTCCTGTCAAACTTTTTCACAACCTCTGTACTTTTTTGTTGTTTTGTTGGTAACATCCATTTTTGACAGCTGAAAACTTTTGCTGTTGGCCAATCCTAAACACCCACCCAACATCGCCGTTACTGTGCAACTTTCTGTCTTTTTTTTTAAATGAAAGCCGCATTGATCTGATGCAGGAGTCCTTAGTGATGATACTATGAGGGTTTCCACACAGTTTAATCCATTCCTGACATTTAACATTTAAGTGTAGACTGAAGCATTAATGTTGGCACTCGGCAGCCGAGGCTTTATTGGGAAAAGATGATTATTATGTATCTTTGCGTGTTTTTAGATATGTGGTCTGGTTTTCAGGTCACTTGATGTTTGAGCCAACCAAATGTTCGCATGAAATACCTCAGGTTGTTAGAAAGTTTGGAAATCTGGGCAAATATTGTGTCATTTTATGGTTTTAGACTTCCACATCCTGTATATTCATTTTGTGTATATGAGGCTAATGAAAGGCACCCTCTGTCGGCCATATTGGACCGTCAGCTGTTGTGTAACAGTATCTGAGTGTACAGCTGATTGAACAGCTGTTCACAGCTCGTCCAGCTGAGCAGAGATGGTTCATTTTTCTCTTTAACTTGGAGCCGATGATTTCATCACTGCAGAGTTTCGAAATATCAACAGTGAGTTCGGCTTTGATTCTGAAATTGACTGCAGATGAACTCCCTCGGCTCGAGCATCGCAGGTAGAAACATCATCAGTCAGATATGTTTGACGTCAGAGTTTTTAAATTTGAAGACTTTGTCTGCGTTGGAAAGCAAAGTGACTGAGAAGATTAGAACAGGAAGAAATATGTAGCAGAAACAGAGCAACCAAGGCAGAATGTGAGAAAAAAGGTCTTCCTTATTGGACTTTTGCCAAACTTTCATTATAATGTGTCACTAAACACATCCTTCAAAGCCTTCCAGGGACTGAAAGGGCGTAATACTTCCTTTTCCTGCAAGGCTTTTGATTTGAAACATCTGCAGGAAGTGTTGAGGTTCATTGACAGCAGTTTACCAGTGATGAGTAGGAACTAAGTAGTGAATGAAAACAATATTTCTGTTAGAGTTGAAACCAGAGCGACCCTGTTGACGTACTGATGGGATTAGTGATATGAAAATGTCCGCCCGTAATGTGGCAGCTTGGTCAGTGGCGCTTACACTTCAATCTGGAACGTCTGCCATAATGTTTTGATGTGCCGTTGAAGTCAGGTGACGTAGTATACAGCGCGAGACAGTCAGCATATGGAGGCGTTTGGGGTGGAAGGATGGCTCAAACAAACACAGGACTTTCAGTCAGGAGACAGATGTTTGTTCCTCTGTGAAACCAGACTTCAACAGTACGTAACAGTTGCTTACTGACACTTCTCTGATATTCTCTCTTTTATTTCTGGTTTTGGTCTCCACCAACTAAACTGTGAGCCTAAAGCGCTGTAAAGCTGCAGATTCAGGTCCTCACAGTTCACTTCAGATCTTTATTGTCCCCGTCAAGGGGAAATTGGAAATGTGGATTTGGGTAAACTTGTGCTTTTGACCCTGGAAGACCTGTATCTCCATGCAGAAGGGAGAATTCCTCAGAGGTGGGTGGTGAACCTTGTCTGTCATACATATCTGCAGGTTCATCATTTCCACATTGTTAGTATTAAAAATATTGAATTACTGCTTTAATTACCCAAGAGGTCCCGTAAATGTTTCCTCTGAGCTTACTGTTAATGCTGATTGAAATGCATCGAATTAAAGCAGTGAGGCTTCTTACTGAAATCTGATCAGATATACTTCTAGACAAAGAATGAAGGCCTTCTTCTTCTTCAGTGGAGAAAAAGGTCCACGAAACTATGTGAGAATTCACGGTGGTTTGTATGTAACAGGAACAGAAATATGGAATTCATATTGTGTGTGTGTGTGTGTGTGTGTGTGTTAGCATCCATTGTCCTGTTTCTGCCTCGTTTATTCGCTCCCACACAAAACACAACTTTTAACACAGTTTACCTCTTACATGGATTAGGAGAGAGAGCGCGGGCCGGTCAGGTCCGCCGTCGATGAGAAAGCCGTTATTTCACAATGTGTCCCAGTTCCCAGCAGCACCAGGCGACCAGGAACACCGGCTCCTGGCACAACAATTGCTTTTTAATCCCCCTCTCTTTTGTTTTTTGTTTTTTTATTTTTTTTTATTTTTTTTTTTGCTGGGAATGATCTGAGTTCTTGTGAAACTGACATTTCTCTTGTGCCGGGAAACAGTTTTTAATGCATTTCCCCTCCCCCTCTCTCCCTCCCCCTCCTCTCTCGCTCTCTGTCCATTTCAGGTGCGAATAGGATTTGCCGCCACCGCTGCTGCTGAAATCATACAGGAGGAAAGAAAACGAGTTGGAAGGAGAACGGAGCAACAAAAGAAGAGTTTTTTAATTATCAGATATTGTATTATTTTTTTTCCTCTTTTATTTTTTACCGATTTTTATCTCGTGATTGTCGCATCCCAGGTCACGCACAACATCCTCCTCGTCTCGTCAGGGTCTCGACCTGTGGCGACCCCCTCCACAGATGTGACACTCACAATAAAAAGATGAGTTTAAATAAGTCGAGGGCTCCACAGTGGAAGATTTTATTTTGGCAAGGCGTAAACAGGCTTCCAAATGGAAATCAGAAGAGTGCAAGGAGAAATTCAGGGTCACGATCTGTGAAGATAATTGAAATTGGCCTCCCTCACAGTGAATCTCAAATTGCTGCTTCCCTTTGATTTCTCACAGTATTGTGAGTTTAGCAGGATTACAATACGATACAAATCTTCACCATCAGATTCAGTTTATAGGCGAGCAGCTGTAAACAATCACAGTTAGTGATCGAAGGCGTTCTCAACTTCCTGAAGCTTCCTTTTGAGGTGGAATTTTTCTTCAGCAGGACACTTCTTTAAAAGGTCGATCAGCAATCAATAATGCTGTTAGTCCTGATCTTTCCTGTGATTTAAGAAGCCGGTCGCAGCAGCTTCAGACACAAAACGGTTGGTCAGAAAAATAACATCAACCACCCCTTTAAGTTTGACTAAGTTTTAATTCCTGAACATTTCCTCTTGTTCCATTAACACTACAACAACCTGAACCAGAGATATCGTCTTTTTCATTCTTCTTCCTTGTCAAAACATCCGTCTACGTTACCCACAATGCCACGTGGCCGCCTAATATAGCCTGTAGCCCAGTGATTCCCAAATCCCCAAAATTCCCGACTCAGTTCACAGCAAAAAGAGCAGATTTGCCATCAATAATGCTGTCGGCCCTGAACTTTCCCATCATGTAACAACTGAGGAAGTTGGACTGACTAGCAGCCAATCACAGCAGCAGTTTTTAAACTATGTGCGCTCACATTATGAGACAAAATATGTGCATTTAGGGAAGGTACTTAAAAAAAAAACAACTGACAATAGTTCACTTTATTCTGGTGACAGGAGCTCGTCTATTTCTGTTGCATTGTGGGACGATCGTGTCCTTGAACACCAACCAGAGTCAAAACTGAACCGTTTTAATTTTAAATGAACTTCTTTTTGTAATTCTTCCAATGGGAATATGTGAAATAATCCAGAATTAGTCAAAAATTAGTATGTAATATGAAACTGGGGCACAGTGTTGGTTAGTAATCGGTAGTTGGGACGACTGTATGAATAGTTAATATAATTAATTCCTCGAATTGAACCTTCCTTCTAAGAGGTGCTTTGGTCCGTGTGGTCAGAGGTTAAACAGGATTGACACTTTCAACCTCAGAGGACAGTGAAAACACTTTTAGCCTGCAGCCAAGTTCCACTTTTAAATAAAAATAAATAAGGAAAAGCTTTTTTAATGATCAGAAATGTTGATTTGTTTAAATATTACACCTTACCTGTAACAGGAGGGTTAACTGGAATCTTCAAGTGTGTTTCCATCCACGTTTTTATGCAAGTACTCACCCTGAGCGTAAAAAATCTGGAAAAATATTGAAGAACTTTTTTATACTTGAAGCGCAGTGAAAGCAGACTTAGAAACAGACATTTCTGATTTCCATCACGATTTCATGTAACATTTTGTTAAAATTTGCACTAAATTTGAATTGACTCTTTACTTTAGAGCCTTAAGCTACCCTTTAAAGGTTATCTATATGAAATTCACTGCCACTAGGTGTCGCAGTAGAGCACCAGCATCTCGGACCAAAACAATGGGCGCTGCAGCCGACCAGACTCCATCGACAAAACTTGTGATTTTATCGTAAACTAAATGAAACGGACTACAATGGCTGCCATTTAAAAGCTCCAACATTCCCTTTAAGTCTGACTTTTATTGATGATCAAAAAGATTTCTAAACCCTCCCCTCAGAAGGAAGCTCGGTTTTGTCAACATCCTGGACCTTAATGACTCTGAACTTTCCCTTTAAGACGAAACCAGTTTCACAATCAGCACTTAAATTCCTGAAACCCCTGAACTCTTCCTTACAGTCGCTCTGAAGGAAGCAGCGTCCGTCTCGTGAGAGGGGAATTAGCAGGTTGTGAACTCAGACAGACGGACGGACGGATGTTTGCGGCTGAGGTGATGTTATGCGTGACCTGTGTTGCCGTGGAGACGGGAGGAGGAGGAGGGTGAACCGGAGCTCTGAATGTGTGCCTGCAGCAGCAGTCTGACTGTACACAGCGACCGATCGACCGACAGACAGGGTGGATTTAAAACAAACAAACAAACACAAAAAAAAAACACAACAAACAAAATCGCCGAGTGCCAAAGCTGGGATCTGCTGCATTCTCACTACACTTTCAAAAAAAAAAAGGGTTCTTCTTCTTCTTGTTGTAAATAGGATATATATGTTTGTTTGTTTTGTTTTGTTTTTTTCCTGTATTGCTACAGATTTGTAAAATTTTGCGGAAAAAATTTTGTTACATTTTGTAAAATGGGAGCAATTCGTCCCCCGGAAACCCTCCTTGTTTTTTGTTTTTCAACCCCCTCTCTCTCGGTTTCTCTCGGCTCTTTTTCTTTCTTTTTTTTGATGGACTTTAAAAAAAAAAAACGGTGGCAGCAGTGGTATATATGTGTGTGTGTGTGTAGGTGTGTGTGTGTGTGTGTGTGTGTCAAACGTTTTTTTTCTTTTCTTTCTCCGTCTCTCTTTCTGTTTTTGTACTGAACCAGAGTGGAACCACTACAGAAAAAAAAAGAAAAAAAAGACGGACCAGTTGGCAATACTTCAGTCACTTCTTCTTCATCTCACCGGCACTGGACTTCCGCCCGCCACTTCCCTGCTGAGAGGAGAGGAGAGGTGGGAGGAGGATGGAGGAGGAGGAGGAGGAGGGGAGGAAGGAGGGACGAAGAGAAGGGGGGGACTTCGCTTCACATCAAATCAGATTTAAAAAACAAAACAAAAAAAAGCACCTTTGGACCTTTTTCTTTTTTTTACTGTGCTGAAGTGAAGTCAAGTGCTATTATTATTATATTATTATTATTATATTATTATTATTATTGTAGCCACTCTGTCTGGAACCCTTTTTTGAAGAAAAGCAAAGGAAAAAAAAAACACAGACTAAAAAAAAGAAAGAAACTTAAGCCAATCTGCACTTCTTGTTCCGACGAACATGCTTGTATGACCAAGTGACTGTCGTGGATTTTTTTTGTTTTTTTTGTTTAAAACGGAACAAACAAACAAACAAACAACATGAAAAAAACTACAACAACAACAAAAAAAGCAGTGAAGAAACTGTTAAAATGGTGGCGAAGCGCAGAAGGATTCAACGGTAACGATCACACAACACGCACCCTCGACAGTAAAAACCCACAATCCAGAATCATGCTGCCTGAATCATAATCTCTCTCTCTCTTTTTCTCTCTGTTTCTCTTCCTCGCTCTATCACTTTGTCTCTTACTTTTCATCCTTTCTTTGTGTCTCTCTCGTCTTTCTTCCCTTTCTTCTGTCTTTGTTGTTTTTTCCTCTTCCTCTCTCTCTCTCTCCCTCTCTCTCTTTCTCTTTGTCGTCCTGCACACCATCATACACACCTGTAATAAACAAAAACAAACAAAAAAAAAAGATAAATAGCCTTTTATTCAATACATAACTACATGTTGGCTTGGTAGGCTTAGTTGAAACTAGTTCCATTCCGACAAAAAAGAATAATAGTAAAAACAAAATATGAGCTTCTTTATGTATTGCTTCTGCCGCTGTAGTGTCCTGGTCAGATTTAAAGATGATAAGACTACATATATCTGAAATACTGTATTTACAAATGCAAACCAGGGCTGGCCTCAACAAACAAACAACACAACAACAGGGGGAAGGGTTTTTAACTCCGTCCACTGGGTGTCTGATCGGCGGCGGTCGGAGGCGTCCTGCTCGGAGCTCCGGCCGCCAGTTTGAGTCGATCGAAATGCTCGTTCCTTCGCTTAAAGTCTTCATAGTTTTTTAAACTCGTAGCGTTCAGCATCACTGAAGTCTCGCTGCTGCACGTCTTTCTGCAAAAAATAAAATTAAAAAAGCCCTAAAAAGAAAGCAGCGCTGTAAACAGAGACTCCTGGTGGACGCACAGCCTTAGAAAGCTTCCAAGAGACTTTTATTTTTGCAAGTGTATAGTTTTAATTGAATATTTTTCTGATGAATGATTGAATGTATTTGCTTTGAGGAGTTAAGTAAATGTTGTGGGTTTACTGTCTGAATGTTTGAAGAGGAAAGAGTCGAGCACACTAGAACCACAGAGAAGTCGAGTCGTTCTAAAAGCCAGAAATGAAAATCAGTCGGACGTCTTGTTCTCTAAAACCTAGTCAGCCATAAGTTTACTTCTTCCTGGAAGGAAACTGCAGGAGAAAAGAAGTTCGATCTCTCCAGAAACTGTGACAGATAAACTGACAAAATATCCGCTGGCATCACAGTCTAATTTAATCTTTAAATATTTGTTACATGTTCGTAGCTGTAACCTTTTACAAGATGATCTTTATTTTAAAGGCGTGGTCACACCAGCATTTAAAACTGCAAAATGTTGCAGAGAAATCAGTTTATTTTCATTTAATTTTAGTGGATTCGTTCATAATGGCAAAGAAAATCTACATCTTCCATCAAATTCAACTTTCGAAAACAGCCGACTGTTTTGGTATTTCTGGCGCTACGTTCCCTCAGATGTTAGCATGCTCGAAACAGAGGAAGCTGTCGTAGCTTACTAGCTGTGTAAGAGCGTAAACAACTCCATAAAAGGAATGTTTGTTTAAAGTTATGAAACAGGAGTCAAAAATATGTCCTTTGAATTAAATGTGAAGCAAGCAAGGGAGTGATTGTGACTGACCTGCACTAACTTTTTCAGAAACTTCCAGATTTATTCACACTACGACAAAACTGTTTGGTTGACTTCTGCTGGCTCGGACATTCTCGCTACAGGAATATACAGAACGACTAGTGTGCACGAGTCCTTTCTTTTGCTTCGTTTAAAGTTGCTCTGTCTGCTCACTTTGAAATGTATCTGTTGCGCCTGGTTTCCCCGAAAAGATTTCCAGCGATTACCTGACAGCACTGAACCATTTATTACCTGCTTCTCTCCAAGAATGGTTCGCTAAGTTTGACATCTCACCATCAATTAACCCTATGAAATCTTGATGTAACCTGGATTTGAACCTTTAGTTACAACCTTAAAACTTCCTTTTCGGTCCACACAACTTCTTTTTTCATTGGTGTGGAGTCAACTATTTTTAGTCCTTCACTTTGTTGCTCAAACTATGTGACAGTTATAGCTACTAATATACATCGGAGCATGGGCAAGGCTGACTGTACAGAGGGTTGTTTGTGCCACAAACTGAAGAGTTGTGTGGACAGAATGTTTTTACTTCCACAAAAATTTCTCGTCTGATCCATCCTCAGTTGTCAAGTAATCTTCAGGGGTCTTTATCCGTCCTCAGTCTTCAGCTGTCTTCAGTTTTTAAATCGCACTTTTAATGTCATATGTATGACATGTCAAACAGAACAAAAATGTAGAAGTATAAGCAGTCAAAGGGGAAAGCTCTGATTGTTTTTTGATTTCAAATTTGTCAATTTAGAAGCTTGAAGAAGGATTTTTATGAAGCTTGAGTCAATCAAGACATGACTTGCACAAAAGCATTTCCTTATCAAGAAAGAGTTCCAGATATTTAAACCACACTGTGAAAGGTTGATTCAACCAAAAATAAGTGTTTGGGCTGTCAAGATTCAAACACAAACTTTCTGCAATGCAAATCCACATGCTGGAGGTACTGACAGGGTTCGTGCAAAGCTTGAACACAAGCTGCATTTTCAAATCAATGTGAGGAACTGGTGTACAATCTGTTTGCAAAATTACAATCACGGACAAACATCCCGAAACAAAAAGGAACCAAAACGTTTTTTAGTTTCGAGTTCGATTAGACTCTCACTCTCTACAGAGGGTTTTAAACAATGACAATAAGACAGAAGAAACAAGTCAGGAGGTCTGTTTTTGGCCGTTTTAATTAAAAGCTATTGTGGTTCTCAGAGCTCTCTGAACTCAGACATGTTTCCCTCGAGATTAGACTATAGATTAAAACACTGACTGATAAAGACATTTCTACACACCAACAACTGCTTACGAGGAGACCAATTTTTACGAGATATTTTAGTTGTTAACTGTCCGCCGTCTCCTCTTCTGCGGTTTTTCCTTCAGACAGCAAAAATATGAGCCAGAGAGTAAATAAACCAAACTTGACTCCTGTATGTGAGCAGGAGGACGATTTCTTTTTGGGAAAACCAGGTGCATTAAATGTCTTTTTAAGGGGAGTTGAGGCCAGCCCTGCTTCATAACTGAGGTTCTGCTTCTTCTACTACTGCTACTATCAAACAACCAGCCCTGGGCACAAAAACAGGCCTGAACACTGTTTCAATTCCTCCCTCCAGAACTCCAGGTGCGCTTGATTTTTTGAATTCATATACCAGCATTTTGAAACTCTGAGTCAGAACCCAAAGTGGAGCACCGGCTTGTTTTTTGTTGAGTTCCCGACGTGACGAAGACGCTTCTGTTAATCAGCTTGTGGCCCGTCTGGGCACCAGGTTGAAAGCGTCTTTGTAGTTTTTTGACTTATAATGACAACAATAGCCATCGATATTTGTTTTTACGTTGATTGAAACGTATTCAAGCTCTGTTTCTGTTGCCCAGGTCAGCAAAACAACCTGTTGATGTCTGCTGTATTTCAATAAAAACACAGCCTTTTTCAAAGGGTACACCTCTTCACTTTGTGTGTGTTACTGTGTGTTATGTGGTCTACTTGCACCTGAACCCAACTCACCCACGTCGTTATCTGTACATTACAGTGCGGGCCTGAACAACATCAAACTTCCCCTAATGTTGGCCTCATACTGCCGCAGTATCTGGAAATAAAAACCTGAGGTCACGTGTCCTCTAACCACTTTTTCTAATGAAATGAACATCTGCCGTTGAGGATTTCGAGTTACTGAAACCAACTCAACTCCAATCTCACTTTCCAATTGACAATTATTTTCTGGTTTACGGTTAACACTGTGTCTGCATCCTTTTTACTTTTTCGACGGCTTGTTGACCCAACTGTAATCGTAAATATAAGCCCGGTTATACTTCTGTGTTGAATCTACGCCGTATGTACACCGTACCATAAGTTGTATCTTGACACGCACCTCCACAGAAATAGTACTTATAACTGCGATTGGTACGCATTTCCATCTGCTCCTTAAGCGTGAGTTGAATGACATGGACCAAAATCGAGGAAGTCCTTAAATATGTACGTTTGTTCGACTGTTCTTCGCCACATTATGAAGATTGCAGCAAATTCATGCAGAGATTTCCACAAACATCGGTGTGGACGTAATTTGGGTAAAAAACTTTTTCACGTTTTCTTCCTGGGTCGGTTAACAAGCTTAACAAAGTTTTAAGCTGCTTTTCCCGGCTCGAGGAAAGTTTTACAAATATCAAATAAATCAAAAATTCATAATACAGAGAGTGACATATCTGACCTTGTTTGCAGCTGTTGTCCAGATGTTTCTTTTATAATGGGGGTCTATGAGGAAAATGCTTTTTTGGCTGCAATACCACAAGTGACCACTGGGGAAAAGCGAGGCTAAGTGCCGACGCCGCATGTAGTTCTGTTATTAAGGCAATCTATCTGCTTTATGCAAGATTTGATTGGTTGTATCGAAATAAGTTCTCCATCTAAACGGTACTAAATTATTAAAAAACTTCCCATTAGCTGATTTACGCACATGACAACAGAGAAGACATTTATATATAAAACACATGTAACTGAAGCGCTATAATGGAAAGAATCCGTATTCCACTCCTGGTTCAGACTAATATTGAACCAACTGTTCAATATGTGATTTCATCCACTGCTCAATCATTTCTTAGAAAATCAGAAACTCCAAAAATTTTTGACCTCCTGCTCTCTCCATCCTCTATTCAGACTGATCCGGTGAAGTGAGGTGAGCCTCGTCTGATTGCACCTGTTAAACCCACTTCAGTCACGGAAAAGAGGGAGATGATGGGAGACGAGAGGGAAGTTAAACAGTTTAAAGGAAAAAAAAACTTGTGCGGCCTTGAAACTGTTTAGGACCTGATGAAAAGACGAGGGATGCATTTGTTTTTGTTTTTTACCTCCTGCCGCATTTTCCTTCCCGTTCATTCTGAATGTTCTCCACGTCGCTGAGCCCATCCCAGGCAAGCTGTAATATCTGGTCGGTATTCTCAAAGGATATCACGGTGCTGGTGTTAATTTAAGATAAGCTCTGCCTTTGGAATCACAATGAGAATGAAGGGGGCTGTAAAAAAAAAAATTAAAAATGAATAAGAATAAAGGTGAGGAATCACATTTCGGGCTGATAGCAGCACAGAGCGGATTGAAAGCTGTCGTGCCCTCAGAGCACTCGGTGTGTGTAAGTGTGTACTTCGGCTAGTGATGTGTGCAGTGTGTGTGTGTGCATGTAAATATTCATACTGTGTGTCGAGTGTTTGGGGTTTGAGCTCGTGTCTCAGCAGATAAATCGACCTGCGAAAGATGAACATTTCTACAGAAAACACTTTTTGTGTATGATGCTGCGTTTGAGCCCCGTGGGAAATCAGGTAAATATGAGTTTCTCTACTTGAAACGCTGTTTTTGTCAGCTTCCCAGTGGTAAATACTGCCTGAGAAAATCCACGCCTTGATAAAATTTGTATTGCCTCGTGTAAAGAAACTTGTATTTGTTATATATTATATGTTATATATTAGATAACATAAGAAAATATATATATTTTATGTCTCGCAGGTGATTCTGTGCTTGTGAAGTTCAAAACTATCTTCAATATCATGTTTTTTTTGTTTGGTTTTTGACATTGTGATGCTGAAGGTAAATTAGCGGTGGCACACGTGATGGTGAAGACACAAACTGTGGATTTGCTCAAATTCACACATAATGAACTAAAGCCATCGAGACGGCGATCTACAGGTAACATTTCTGAAACCAAGACATCCTCACACCCAATTAATCAAATACATCAGCTTGGTCAGTGGCCCAACGCTTTAAACTAGTAGGATTGAGTGACTACTCATCTGGAACAAGTATCCGGTACCCAGACAAGTAAAATGTGTCAATATCCATACTCGTAAACATATCAACTTTTATTTAAATAACCTTGAATTAAAACTGTTCATGTGATCACTGCTCATGTGATCAAAAACATTGTTCTGAAGCTCAATTTTCTAATAAATATAATTGCTTCTGATCAATCCATATCAATTTCAGGTTTAATTTAACAATGTTGAGTTAGTCCCGCCCACTTCCTGTTCATGCACTAACGTTGGACTTAAGCCCCGCCCATTCAGAGAACGGAGACAAACACAGATAATTTAGTTGATTGAACAGATAAAGATAATGGCGTACTCGCTCTGCGGTCCAGTTAGCAGCAGTTAATGTTCACCGTTCAGTTAGAGTTTCAAACTAAAGCTCACTAAGAAGCATTTTACATTTTATGAATTTGGTTAGAGTTAGGCACAAAAACGACTTGGTTAGCTTTAAAATAAGAACGTACATCGAGACCTGCATGGACTGTTTTCTTAATCCCGCTTCTTCCTGATTTACCAACCATTACACAAGCTTTCGAGATTTCATGTCTTCTCCTGTCCATTATTTTAGTAACAACTGTGTCAGTTGCTTAGCTGTTGTTTTGAGGAGTCTGTCTCCATCTTTCCAATGTGCAGATAAATCCTGGGACCCGCAGTTCTTTGCACAATGCAGTCCTCTATCCCGTGTCTAAAAATGACCCAGGAGGGGTCGCTACAGCGCCGTACATTGAAGCGTAGGGCCAAGCTGCTGTATTTGACAATTGGAGAGTGAAACCAGGCTGAAACCTGAACAGTCTTTAAGTCGGTAAAAAACATGCAAAAATGTAAAATTTTCTACATGTAAGAATACATATGAAGAATAAAGTTTATAATATAAAAAATAATTTATAAATATTATTTGGAAAAATTCATATTTTTCCTTTTAATTGGTATCAAAAGACATTGTACTTTCCATTTAATCAGTTTATTATTAGGAGATTCAGGATGAAATCTAGCGTTTCCAACCCATAGCTGTACGAGTCTCGCTGAGAATCAAAAGAAAGAAAACCTGAAGGAAAATGTGAGAAATAACTCGAGTTCCTTGTAAGTTTTGAAATCTTTGATTTGAAGTGTGAGCTGTTTTCATGCAAACACAGTTGGTTACATATGACATGCATCAAATGCCCACACCCATTATTTTCTCTGTAAGCCAACACACGCTGACAGCGCCAAGACACCAAGGTATGCCACTGTCCTATTTTCCAGCAGAAAAGCAGCAGTTGTATCACATTAACTTCCTGGACTGGCACATTGCAGCCGCTGTTATCTGTGCAGGCATCAAATTCTGCAACACAACGATGTCAGTGTGTTTCCTTTCAGATGTTCTGCAAGTTTGTTTCAGAGAAACCGAGAGCAGCAGGTTTTGCTCAGTTCAGAGAAGAATTTTGGTCCTAAATCTTTTGGTGATGTATAAATGAGGAGCGGATTGTAAATAAAAACTCTCTGACCCACTGTAGGCACAATATATTACAAAATAAAAGCATAAATATAAATCCTAGAGCTGAAAACTGAGTGCTGTGTTTGCATCATTTATGTCATTACCAAGTTTTTAGTCTCTGTCCTTCTCCAGAAACTTACTACTAACTTTAACTAATTGTAAATTTTTCAGTTTAGTTTTATGTTCTTCTTGTAAAAAATGTTTTGTTTTTTTCAGTCTTATTGTTTATTTAAATTTTATATAGCAACCTGCTTGGTTTTGGCCGAGAAATTAGAGAAACTGCAGTTTCTCTAACAAGGCTGGCTCCAGCAGTGAGTCAGACTCCATAAGGCTCCATACAACTCAGCTGTTTAAATGATATAATAATGTTATGCATGATTAAGCCCTCTTTAACACAGGTGCTGGTTTCAGTAACCAGGCTTCATTCAGCCAACATCAGCTCCACCTCTTGGGTTGGCTGCCACCAGAGGCTACGTCCAGTTTTAATCACAGTGTCTGACTAAAAACTATACAAAGAAAAAACGGTAAAGAACTGTAAAAATTTAGAGATTTTATGCATAAAAATATTTGTAGTATATTGAATTGTGCCTCCTGTGTCATGTACATTGAGCTGTAGCTATACACCTGCAACCCGCAGGCATGGTGGGCTGCTGGACTCCCGGGTAAAATCTTCCACCTGCCGGGGGGAATCTGGACCTGGGACTCTGAGCGAGGGCCTCCCCTCCTCCAGCTTCCCCTCTTGAGGCTTTTCGGCAGCAGGCTGCGTTTGTACTGTGCAGCTCCCAGGTGTGAGTGAGTGTAACTGTGTGAATGTGAATCAGACTGTTGTTGAGAAACACAGCACACGCTCAGATAAGCTTCCCGGCATGAATAAAAACTGAAGAGGAAAAGAAAAATCTTAAGGCGAGAGTCCCGTGAGAAATACACGCCTAGATTTCCATGGCAAACTCCAGGGATTCGAAACCAGCTTCTCTACGGCGCTGTATCTCTTAAAATGTTGAACACAAGCCCGGCAGTGTTAGGATGTACAGTAAGTATCTCATATCTGAGTCCTGAAATCCTGCTGTTGCACTTGAAATAAAAAGAGTCGACCCATCACCAGTCAAATTACCAAACAGGAGCCGACTCGCCAGGCTGCATCTGCTGCTGTACGGAGTAAACACCGTTACATAACAC